ATATCAAACTAATAAAATATGACATATATAAAATATATAGATAATATGATGATATATATAATATAAGAATAAAAATAAAAATAAATATAATAATAAAATATATAAATATATAAAAATAAAATACATAAATAACATAATAATAAAATAATAATAAAAATGTATACATACATTGAATCAAATATCATTTCTGAAACATTTATAATTCAGAACAATTTATCATAAAATGATATAAAACATAATCAGATATAATTGAATATGAAATGAGTATTTAATTTACATTTTTATTTTTTTAGGAGCAAAATAATAAAAATTATTATTTTATTGATTCAAAATATTTTGCCCGAAAAATATTCATCATTTGTGAAATAAAATAATATTTCAACTAATATGAAATACATAAACATTAAAATTATTAGATATAAAACGTAATGGTTATAATTAATTAAAATAAACGAAAATTTTAATATCATAATCAAATTCAGTTTTTATCAACACGATAAAATATAGGAATAATTTTTTGATAAATAGAATGTACTTATACATCATTTATTATTATAAAATTAAAAATATTCATTGAATACAAAAATACATAACTAGAAGAAGAGAATATTGAAAGAGCTATTGATAATAAACCAATTTTAATATTTATTTGAAATATTATATTCCAATAAAAAACAAATTCAGTAAAACAATTTATTTTTTAAAAATGAATATACACATACAATTAGAACAATATTTATAAGAAAATAATTAATGATGAATAAAATAACAAGTCATAAAATGAAAACTATAATTCTATTTCAAAATAAGAAAAAATAATTGAAAAAATACTAATTTAAATTTTCTTCAAGGAAACTTATGGACAAAAATAATAATCGTTATATTATTAGATTTTTAACATACTGATCAAAATTTATTTGAACTTATTTCTGTTCTTTGTTTAGAATATCCAAAGTAGTGTTTTAATATTTTTATAATCCACTTTACATCATTATCATTTTTAAAAATATCTTATATTTATATACGTTCTCACATATTATTTTAGCTCTTAATTGAAAGATAATTTATAAAATATGTATTTTTAAATTATCTATCTTATTTTAATAAGAAAACTATCTATTATATAAATTGAAATGTATAAAATACTTTAATTAATATTATTCCTATTTTTATCCTGAAAATCTATAAAATTTAAACTGAATTACATCATAAGTGAAAAAGAAAAGAGTCAATTCTTAATCCAAAATAAATATTTTATAAAAGTGAATATAACTATTAATTATTAAAACTATAAACCAAATATTATCTTATTTTCGTTATTATTTAAAAGTCAAATAAAATTTTATAATTATACTCGACGGTTCATGTTGAGTATTTCTTTCAATTATTTTTTTCCATTTTCTCTTATAATTCTTTATAACTTTATCCCATCTTCTTTTATATACACACTTTTATTTTCTTTATTTCTTTACTAACATTTTGTTACCAATGTTTTCATTATCTTTTATTCCTTACTTCAATTTAATTTATGTCTATGTATTTTTATCAGTCTATTTTGTTTATATTAAATCACTGAATTATGTAGTCTTTTTTCTCATTCCTAGATACAATTATTTCAATTATTATTCTCTATTATATACCCATGAAATAATGATAGTAAAAAAATACTTTTAATAAAGGATATTATTGAAAAGAAATAATTAATTAAAAAACAAAAAAAAGTAAATAACAATGGCAAAAGATTTTGTTAGACAAGAGAGATTGTTAAAGGAATTATTGCAACACAGAACCAATTTCAAAATTGGTTTATCTCCAGAGTAGTTGGATAGAAAGTTCTGCCTCTAAACATAATTAGACATTTCAAAAAGAAGTTAAAAAAAGAAAAATAAACGAGTTGTTGAGTTTAGATTTAAAGAGAAAACTCTAAATTATTAAAAAATAATGAGTAATTCAAAATCACCAAAACTTCGTATTGGAAAGTTAAATATTATTAATGAACCTGAAGTAGTTGATTCTATGCCTAAAACAACTCCAAGAAATCGAAGATTATTTACAGATCCAAAGAAGACAAATAAAATAGAAAAACTTGAAAAATCAATTCGAGACAAAGGGTTATATGGATTTATTAAAAGCCCTCGATCTTCAAGTACTAGCCCAAGAAATAATTCTCCTCAATTTAAAAAAATGGGGGAATTAGATTGTTCTTTGTTTCCTTTACAAGAAGAAGAAATAGAGTTTTGGAAAGAAGTTTGTTTTAAATAAAAAATATTATTAAGAAGTTATTTATAAAATATAGTTAATGTCAAATTTTCAAAGTGATACACCGTCAAGTATTATTGAATATTTAATTAGAAAAGAATTAGATGACCCTACTCGTGAATCTAACGTACTTTCCATTTTAACATATTATAGTGATATTAATAAATTAGCTAATTTTATAAATTATATTGTGTTAAGAGAAATTACAGCTCGCTGTGAAGATTTAACAAATAACAACACTGTCTTTTCATCATTTTTCTCAATCTTATTTTCTCTTTCAGGTAAATATTTACAGATGGAAATGTTATCAAGTGTTCTTAAGAAATGTACAAAATAAAAAA